AATATATATTTTTTAATCATATATGGTTGAATCATATTCACCAGGGTAAAACATCATGAGCTAGATTAAACAGATTGTCCTAATATCTAACTTTACCTGCAACACACACCTGTTTCATTGCTGTTACTATTTTTCAATCCACACTGGGGGGGGGGCAGAAAAGTTTCTACATTTATGAGGGGAGAGGTACAAAAAGTTTGCCTTCAGTCTGGAGGGGGGGGGGGTCAAAAAAGTTTTCAATCCTTATTTTCCCCATTTCCCCCCCCCCTTCCCCATAAATAATGACCAATCCCCTAGTTAAAAAGTTTAAGAGTAATGTCTAGATATAAAATAAAATCCTAAACTATCTTTTGAGTCAACAGACATTGTCCAGTCAGAAGTGTTCACTGACCGAACAAACCTTAGATTGCTGGTCAAGCTGTTTGCAACAACTCCAGGTAAGGTAAGAAATATGTCATTGTATAATTTTATATTGTTCTGAATTGAAATTGCCATCTACAAAACCTTTCAACATTCAGTTAGAAATGTACTTATAATGGGTGTCATCAAAGTGTGCAAACACGTCAAGAATTTGTATCATGCCCACACCAACAAATGTTGATGGACACACCTACATATTTTTCATGTTTACAATTGTAATATCAACCCATTGAGTGGTAGCACTCTCTCTGTGATGAGTAAAATTGTCTGTTGTTAGACAGAGTAAAATAATAAAGAGGGGGGTAATGGGGTATTTTCGTGTTGCGTATTGGGGTAATTTAATTATTCGTTCTTCGTTCAGTCATCTTTTAATTAAACGTTTTTCGATCCCGACATGGATGCCGTGTATCGTGCTTGCGGTGTATTCAATATCCGTTCTCCGTTTTCAGCTGTATTTAAAGACGGTTATTTCTCGTTTCTGGACAATATATTCCATTAATTTTGTTTCTGGATTTTAGCTATGTTTTGATTGGGGAACGGAGGTTTCAAAGTTTATATAAATCATGAACATCGACCCAATTGTAAACAAATAGGTGAACACACCGCCTAGTACAGACTGTTTATATTCACCTTTAAGACCTTTAAGACTTCTAGGTATGATTGTTGCTTACATTTCATGTTCACTTTACATTTCAGATTCGTAATAAATTTATTTTACGTGCTTCAGGACTTCCTTCTTTTATTTTTCATGCTTCAAGATCGCTGCATATTATTTTTCGTGCTTCAGGATCGGTACCCCCCCATTACCCCCCTCAATAAAGTAGGGAACATCAGGTCACATTGCCACTTAAATTGCCACTCAAGATTTTTTAGTAATTGTTAGTAACAACCGATTAGATGTTTAAAATTACAATTGTAAACATGAAAAAATATGTAGGTGTGTCCATCAACCTTTGTGGGCATGAACGTGATACAGACGTTTGCACACTTCGGTGACATCCGTGGTATTTAAGGTTTAAATACTCTGCGCATGTATATACATCAGCCATGGGTAAAATAACAGGATAGCCAAAACTGAAGAAGGTTATAGCAGTATATTTGTTCATCAAAAGACATTATTAATTAATGAAGTGAACATGTATTTTATGCAATGACCAAATTTGTACTGTTCTGCAAACTACTAATTATTCTCAACCACAGGCTGGCAGTGTTGCAGGATTGACAGCAAAAGTGACATTTATCTGTCAGTTAGTGTGAATGAAAATTCCAAGCCCAAATTCCATTCATTCTCTATTTTATATAATGATGTAACAGCGTGAAGTTTCGAGAATAAATTATGTACGCTTCGATCAGGGGAAACGCAAAATCTATAATTTTTCATCAATTCCACGATGGTTATACATTTTATACAATCAAATATATGGAATGCACACGGGAAAAGCTGAAATTAGTAAGAATCTTACCGATGCAGCTGTAGATTGGGATCTGACAGAAATCGATGTCAAATGCTTGACAGGAATCTAGTAAATAGAATATTAAAATTACTTCTCGAAGCATAATATATTTGAATTGTTGTGTAATAAATATACGAGTTTTTCTCGTGGAAAATATAGCCCAATAAACATACCTTTGGAGCTTGGCGACAACCTCGCAATACAACAGCGACACTGGCCATTATTTAAGAATTTTATCCACAATAAAACGAAAGATTTTGAGCAATAATTTGCTTCTTCTCGTTCTTGATGGATTTGATTAGTACAAGTTGGTACTATATTCGTCCCAGTCCCACGGTCGCGTGAACAGCCATTCGACGTTTTTGAACAAAGAGCGATGACGCAACATGATTACTCAAGTGAAAAAGTGACAACACGCACGATTTTTGAAAAGAAATAATTCAGTTTGTCTTGTTCATCTGCCTCCTATAGTATATTAGATCATTATTTCGACCAACATTCATTACAATTATTTTGTTGTCTACTGCCATATGACACACTTGGCAAGTGGCATGTCATTTTATTCACAGTGAGTTGCGTTACCATAACCATAGTAGCCCAACAATCAGTGGTAGCAGTGGCGTGCTGGCAGGGGGGGCCGGGGGCCCCCCCCCCCCCAGCTGGCAATTCTTGGGGGGCGCAGAAATGAAAACGGGGCGCCTATTCCGCCGAATTTTGAAAGAGAGTGGTCAAAAACGCATTTGAAAAAATACAGTTACTTCCACCAAGGAAAAAATGTGTTTACAGGCTTATAAACAGACTGAGCGCATAGGCGACAAAGTGATATATTAAATTACAGACTATTTTGTCTGACCAGCGTATTTGCTACCTCACACGAAATCGTTCACATAGAAACACGATCAGTGATGATCAGTGATCACATGCAATGTCGCATTACCGGAATATTGGTCAGGTTTCGAAGCGATCACGGGAATTACGCCCTTTTTTGCTGGTATTATGCCGATATATTATGCCTTTATTATGCTTCACGAATCACGAGAGCGGCGCAAATTAGATAGTTATGATAATGTAAAGTTGTGTACGCAATTTAGTTGTTTGCGCAAGAAACATCATGACTCATTGAGTAATGTAAGTAATAAGATAATGCTGAAACGCGCGCCCTTTTTGGCAGCCAAGCAAGGAAACCTTAAAATGCACGATGTACCACTGACATCGACTCACACCGATGTGCAGATGAACTGCTCAACTTTGCAGAATCTTTTCAAAAATTGAAGAGTTCAGTGATTTTTGATGAAGACAAAGAAGAAGAGAAAGATTCTGATTTAAACTCCGGTTCTGAATCTGAAACCGAAGACCACGAAGAAGAAACCGACAGCGAGTCAAGCGACGATGGAACTGCTGAAGAACCAAAGGACAAGGATAAACCATCATTTCTAGAAGCTCTGAGATTTTTGTTAAATCCTGATTACCACCTAGTTGATGTATTTCCAACTCTTTGTAAAGTTTATGCGATTGCAGTTGCAATTCCAATCAAACCCGCACACGTTCGTTTATGTCTCAAGAAAAACTTGAAGCGTTGCTACTATATGAACGGAAGATTTAATGTCTTTGGACAAGGAGCAGATTATTACCGCCTTTGGAGGTCTGACATCAGAATTGTCGAAGGCGCTATATGAAAATGTTTAGAAATGCTAGAAATCGACAATCGTTATTGAAACATTAAAGACTTATAGTACTAACTATCAAGTGATATATAGTATTAACTCTTTTTGTATGTTTTGACAATTAACGACATGACAGATTCGTATCAATAAAGTCCAAGCACACTTTTTAGTATAACACTACAAGTTATTAGAGAGATCGGCGTTTAATATAAATCGAAATATTTTATACAAATATACTCAACGAGTGACTTTATTCCTCCATAATTAATCTAAAATAAAGATTTATAGTAAAACTGATACCGTACTAATTTAAGTACTACTACAAAATTCTAACCAAATTGCAAATTTTGACACGTTATAATCTCGTTTCCGGACCATCAGATTTCTGTCAAATCTTCCCCCAAAGTCCAGGAATTGGCATTTCAGAGACTCTAAATTTAAAAATTTTCCGGGGGTGCATGCCCCTGGATCACCCTAGGAACACCTCGCACCTGCGGCGCTCGGCTCGTGCCTTCGGCCCTCGTTTATCAAGCGTTACATTATAGGGGCGCATATTGGTTGATAGCTCACTGCCCCCCCCAGAAAAATAGTACCCAGCACGCCACTGGCCCTGAGTCGACCGAAGCTGATTTCCACGTATGTTGTTTCTTCGCAATCCAATGTACAAATATAATATAATTCTTCGCCAGATTCAGACTTGGCTGAGAATTTCTTGGCAGAGCGGCCAGAGCCTCATCAGTCGAAATACAACAACTAAGTTTTAGAACTGAAAATATGTGGAGTGATTGTACTGTAACTAGAGTCTAGAGTAGTAGAGATGGTTTAATTATGTGGTTTACACTTAATACAAGTATAAACTTTATAAACTGGTCATTGAGAAAGATCGTGACTCTATTTTCACGACCATTACGACCATATGGAAACCAGGCTTTAGTATTACATGCATGTTGGAACAATTACCACTGATTGCCTGCAACCTGCTTACAAGTTAAGTTGTACTGTGTAAATCAAGCACACAACTCACGTATAGTCCGTATAGGACCATAGGTAGAAGTTGTGTGGTGTAAATCGGCCCATTATGGCATAGTATAGGTAGCCCAACAATCAGTGGTATTAATTCATTTCTGTTCAATAAAATCATACTACTACTCAGTCCCCGACTGCATTGTTTACGCGCGGTCAGATCATGTAGGTATCAATACGTATCTCTATAGTAATATATGCTAAGCATACCGTATTTAATACTCGTTTGAGCGCCGCGGCGCTGTTTAAATTTTCAGAGCTTTAGATGCGGCGCTCATTCGGGGGCGGCGTTCAATCGGGGGCAGCGCTCTTTAAAAAATATTTTATTTGTGAATGATAAATCGAACTTTTAACAATAAAATAAACAAGTTTTAAAAGGTTTTTGTCACTAAATTCCCCATTTTGACGGTGGAAAGTTTTTACACTGTTTAGTGCGGCGCTCATTCGGGGTCGACGCTCTTTAAAAAAATTTGATCTCAAATGCGGCGCTCATTCGGGGGCGGCGCTCATTCGGGGGCGGCGCTCATTCGGGGGCGGCGCTCAATCGGGGGCGGCGCTCAATCGAGTAAATACGGTATATATATGCTATATGCTATATAGCATATATTACTATAGAGATATGTACATGATCTGACCGCGCGTAAACAATGCAGTCCGGGACTGAGTAGTAGTATGATTTTATTGAACAGAAATGAATTAATACCACTCAGTGGCGTGCTGGGTACTATTTTTCTGGGGGGGCGACTAAAGCCTGGTTTCCATATGGTCGTAATGGTCGTGAAAATAGAGTCACTTTCTCAATGACCAGTTTATAAAGTTTATACTTGTATTAAGTGTAAACCACATAATTAAACCATCTCTACTACTCTAGACTCTAGTTACAGTACAATCACTCCACATATTTTCAGTTCTAAAACTTAGTTGTTGTATTTCGACTGATGAGGCTCTGGCCGCTCTGCCAAGAAATTCTCAGCCAAGTCTGAATCTGGCGAAGAATTATATTATATTTGTACATTGGATTGCGAAGAAACAACATACGTGGAAATCAGCTTCGGTCGACTCAGGGCCAGTGGCGTGCTGGGTACTATTTTTCTGGGGGGGGCAGTGAGCTATCAACCAATATGCGCCCCTATAATGTAACGCTTGATAAACAAGGGCCGAAGGCACGAGCCGAGCGCCGCAGGTACGAGGTGTTCCTAGGGTGATCCAGGGGCATGCACCCCCGGAAAATTTTTAAATTTAGAGTCTCTGAAATGCCAATTCCTGGACTTTGGGGGAAGATTTGACAGAAATCTGATGGTCCG